TCAGGATCGAGGACCCGGAGACGATGGTCGTAGGACGCAGCAGTAGGCTGGGTGTCTGCAGTAGACTTCAGTCCACCCCCACAGGCAGAGTGGCAGCTTTGAAGCCGAGGGTAGGGGCGGATCTTGGGCTAGGGAATGGAATGAAGGATGGAAGAAGAAAATTCTTTCTTTTGAGCGAGCGGATTGTAAACCTAGATAAAAAATTTGGCCAGGAGGGGGAGCTCCAAGCTAACAGCCCTGTGGTCTGCTTCGATCAAGGCCTTGTGGCTGCACTGCGGTTCTAGCTCCAGGATGATGTCTAAAGGTGGAGCGCTTGCACTTTGCTCCTCCTGAGGAGCCCATGACCGAGACCACCACGCTGAGGAAGGCCGTGCTGGCTACAGGAGAGAATCCTGGTCCTGGCGAGGTGAGCGGCCCTGAGCCACCCCAGCCCTCCAGGAAGACTGCGGGGAGCTGAGGTGAGCCGAGCGCCCCCAGCCTTGTCCAGGGGTAGAGCTGTGAGTGAGCCGGGCGTGGTGGCGCACGCCTGTAAACCCAGCACTCCGGAGGCTGAGGCAGGAGGATTACTGCGAGTTCGAGACCAGCCTGGGCTACACAGTGAGCTCAAGGCTAGCCTGAACTACATAGCGAGACGTTGTCTCAAAAAGCCAAAAACAAAACAAAAAAAACTGTGAGTGAATCACAAAGTGGTTATTGGGTTAGGCCAGGAAGTCCTAACCAGGGGCTGTCCGTCATGCAACAGGCAAGGACCCCAAATGCCAGTGCTTTGAGTTTTCTGCTCCTGCCGACTTGAGGTGGGCGTTTGTGATTTTAACAAAGTGACTCTATGATGGAGCATGTGTGGTGACAGGTGTCAGGGAGCAGCACGACCGTGGCCCTGGGGGTCAAGCCAGGCGGTGCCCTGACTCAGCTGCGTACCAGTGGCAGCCCATGGCTTCTGAACACAGCCGTCTGCCACAGCCCTGGGTGCTTTCTCCATCACAATTTGGGTGATCAAGTGAGCTTGCTATTAGGCCAGGTACTGAGAAAGATATGCACAGCTTCTGTGATGGCTTGGGTCTAGATGTCCCCGCAAAACCCCATGCGGTCACAGGTGGGCTTTTCGGAGGTGGTTGGATCTGGGGCGTGTGATGCTGGGATTAATAGTTCGAGGTTAGGGTTACGGCTGCCCCACCCTGGGTGTGAGGTCTCCACATCAGCCCTCTGCTCGTCAGCCTCCCTGCCCGCTGCT